GTTAAAAACCTAAAGATGAAATCTGATTTTATTTTTAGAAACATACAATTCAAACAGAAAGAATTCAAATACAAATGAAACTATTTGGAATGGTTATTTCTAGGGAATGGAGTTTGGAGGAGACAAATAATTTTCACTTTTTAAATATTAAAAATTGCAACAGCTAGAATTTTTTGAGTACTTATTATGTGCCAGGCAAATTCCAAGCACTTCATTCAATTAGTCCTCATAAGGGTCCTATGAGATAGACGCCATTATTATTCCCATTACCAACACTTGAGGGAACTGAGACCCAGAGAGATGAAATAATTTGGTTAAGGCCAGGTGAGGTGGCTCAGGCCTGTAATCCCAGCACTTTGGGAGGCCAAGGCGGGTGGAACACAAGGTCAGGAGATCAAGACCATCCTGGCTAACACAGTGAAACCCTGTCTCTACTAAAAATACAAAAAAATTAGCCGGGCGTGGTGGCGCACATCTGCAGTCCCAGTGACTCAGGAAGCTGAGGCAGGAGAATCGCCTGAACCCAGCATGCGGAGGTTGCAGTGAGCCCAGTTCACGCCAATGCACTCCAGCCTGGGCAACAGAGCAAGACTCCATCTCAAACAAACAAACAAACATGGTTTGGAGTTTTCCCCTCAGAGACACAGGAGCCTTTGAACTTGTGGGGCTGATTTAATTTGGTATCACAATGCTGCTCCTGGCGGGAAACCACTTGGCAGCCCTAGACTGCAGCTCTGAAAACTACCATTTAAAAAGCCTGGTTGGTACATGCCTTGGCTAAATCCCTCAACTCTCCTGCTGTCCAGCAGGAGCTGAGCCAGCAGGGAGGCAGGGCTGCTGTCAGACTCAGAAAACCTCTGCCGTATTGCCATTTCTCTTCCAGTATCAGAACCCCTCTAGTAGTTATTTCTGAGGTTAATCCCCTCCCCCAGTATCTTATCAGGGGCTTGACACCTCCCCACAATATCCTATCAAGGGCAGGGCTTGGAAGGTACCTGGAGCAGGCAAGAGACTGGTGAGAGTGCAGGTAAGCCAGCACTTAGAAGGCAGTGGCAGGCTTTTGACTCCAATCTCTGGCCCAAATCCCCAAATCCAGGTTTTTGTGGAAGACAATCAGAAAATCACATGGTCTCAAGGAACAGTGCAGCATTCACTAGACATATAGCTCTGCGGACAGTCCTGCAGTGTTTAAAAAATAAAATGGAGGCTGGGCTCACGCCTGTAATCCCAGCACTTTGGGAGGCTGAGGCAGCCAGATCACTTGAGGTCAGGAGTTTGAGACCAGCCTGGCCAACACGGTGAAACCTCACCTCCACTAAAAATACAAAAATGAGCCAGGTGTGATGGTGTGCGCCTGTAGTCCCAGCTACTCGGGGGCAGGCAGGGGGAGGCTGAGGCAGGAGAATTGCTTGAACTTGGGAGGTGGAGGTTGCAGGGAGCCAAGATCATGCCACTGCACTCCAGCCTGGGTAACAAGAGCGAAACTCCATCTCAAAACAAAAAAAAAACCACGGATATTAACTTGAAAATGAAATGTGTTTTATGGAAGTTGACTTTATAGTGATCTGCATAGAAACATGTCTGGTCCACAGTTAAAGAAGTCAGGTGTGCCTGGACTTTTAAATTCAATCGAAAGTAGAGAGTCTTCCGCCAACATGGTGGTTCTGTTTGTTTTCTTCTAATCTCAGGCACATTTTCTTTTTTTATTTGACAGCATGGTTGTTCTTAAGCCAACAATGAATTTTATAAATATGTGCCTTAAAGGAGTTAATAGCATTGCACACATATGGTAAGACAGTGAACCACTCAATCCAGCCTTTTTTTTTCAACTCCACCTCCCAGGTTCAAGCAATTCACCTGCCTCCGCCTCCCAAGTAGATGGGATTACAGGCTTGCACAACCAACCCCAGCTAATTTTTGTATTTTTAGTAGAGACAGGGTTTCACCATGTTGGCCAAGCTGGTCTTGAACCCTGACCTCAGGTGATCCACCTGCCTCCACTTCCCAAAGTGCTGGGATTACAGGCGTGAGCCACATCCGTCTCCACATTTTTAACTATGTAAGAAAGCAGTCCAGGCGTGGTGGCTCACACCTGTAATCCCAGCACTTTGGAGGCCAAGGTGGGTGGATCACCTGAGGTCGGGAGTTCAAGACCAGCCTGACCAACATGGTGAAACCCTGTCTTTATTAAAAAAAAAAAAAGAAAGCAAAACAAAACAAAACCTTCCCTCTTTACACCCCCTGTTTAAAAACAAAAAATTCGTTGTTTTAAAACAAAAAACAACAATAAACTACCACATATATATATACATATATAAAACAAAACGATCACATACATACATACATCTTGCCATGTTGCCCAGGCTGGTCTTGAACTCCTGGGCTCAAGCAATCCTCCCACTTCAGCCTTCCAAACTGTTGGGGATGACAAGTGTGAACCACCACAATTGGCTTATCACATACTATTATTGTTAAACAATGGAATTTTTAAAAGAGCGTTGATTATCAAAGATCCACTTAGAGTTTGCCTTCTAAATTAGATTAATATGCTTGATTTTTTTTACTTTCAATGCTTAGTCCTGGCAATGTCAGTATTTAGCTGTAAGATTCTGGGAGGTGGTATCCTTTCTGAATCTCCTGGTGATAAATAATATTTATTTCACAAGGATATTGTAACAATAAAATGAAAGTGAAAGTACTTGATATTAATATAAATAACATTGTTAACTATAAAAATCTCTAAGGTGTCATCTAGTTTTAAAATATTACTATTATTTATTTTTTGAGACAGAGTCTCCCTCTGTCACCCAGGCTGAAGTGCAGTGGCACGATCTTGACTCACCACAAACTCCACCTCCCAGGTTCAACCAATTCTCCTGCCTCAGCCTCCTGAGTAGATGGGATTACAGGGGCGCACCACCACACCCAGGTATTTTTGTACTTTTGGTAGAGACGGGGTTTCACCATGTTGATCAGACTGGTCTCAAACTCCTGACCTTGTGATCCTCCTGTCTCTGTCTCCCAAAGTGTTGGGATTACAGGTGTGAGTCACCATGCCTGGCTATTATTATTTTTGAGACAGTCTTGCTCTGTTGCCCAGGCTGGAGTGCAGTGGCATGATTATGGCTCACTGGATCCTCAACACCTGGGCTCAAGCAATTCTCCTACCTCAGCCTCCTGATTAGCTGGTACTACAGGCACGTGTCACCACACATAGCTAATTTAAAATACATACATACATATATATATATATATATGTATGTATGTATATATATATAAAACAGAGATGAGGTCTCACTCTGTTGCCAAGGCTGGTCTTGAACTTGAACTCCTGGGTTCAAGTAATCCTTCCACATTGGCCTCCCGAAGTGCAAGGAGTACAGGCAATAGCCACTGCACCTGGCAAATTTTTATTTTTAAGCAATAATTATTAAAGAGTTTAGTCGAAGAGACTCCCTTGAGAGACACATTCTAACGTACACTAAGATGAAATTACATAATTGTTATTTGCTTCACAATAATCCAGTGGGAACAGCGGGCTTCATCTATAGGTTTGGGTCACATTTTGAGTATTGCTGAAGCTGGGTTATGAGTACATGGGAGTTCGTTAAAAACCATGTGGCTGGGCGCGGTGGCTGACACCTGTAATCCCAGCACTTTGGGGAGCTGAGGCTCCTCAGGTGGATCACCTGAGGTCAGGAGTTTCAGACCAGCCTGGCCAACATGGGGACCCCATCTCTACTAAAAATACAAAATTAGCCAGGTATGGTGGCAAACGCCTATAAATCCAGTTACTCTGAAGGCTGAGGCAGGAGAATCCCCTACACCTGGGAGGTGGGGGTTGCAGTGAGCCTAAATCGTGCCACAGCACTCTAGCCTGGGCAATAAGAGAGAAATTCCAACTCAAAAACAAACAACAACAACAAAAACCATTCTGTCTGCTTTTCATGTTTGAACTTTTCATATTGAGAAGTGTTAAAATAATTAATTGGGAAGCTATTGGGCTTAGATGTCTCCAGTGTCCTTGGTTCTTACGTAAGCAAACTGAAACCCAACTCAGAACAGATGGGTGGGACAGGCACAGTGGTTCATGCCTGTAATCCAGCACTTTGCGAGGCTGAGGCTGGAGGATCACTCGAGGCCAGGAGTTCAAGACCAGCCTGAGCAACATAGTGAGACCCTGGCTCTACAAAAAAATTTTTTTAATTAAAAAAAGTTTTTAAATATAGATGACTGTAGCATAAGAAAAGGAAACTTCTGCTTACCCAGTCAGAAACTGCCAACTAACCTCTAACCGGGGACTTTCCATTCTAACCAAGTATTTTTTTTTGTCTTCCTTCAGAAAACACTATATGGAAGTTTTCCGTTCAAGCGCTTCCCAGTAAAGCCCAAACCGCCTGTGGTTTGCCACTGCCCAACTCATAAATATTATAGCATAAAACTATATTTACTTGATTTTAACTTCATTAATGGAGTCCACATGTTAACCTGGGATCTTAAACGCTAAGATTTTTTCCAAGAGAAAAAAATAAGAGTTTTCTGGTTTTCAAGCATTTGACATTGGCCAGACATGGTGGCTCACGCCTGTAATCCTAGCACTTTTGGAGGCCAAGGCAGGTAAATCATGAGGTCAAGAGATCGAGACCACCCTGGCCCACACAGTGAAACCCCGTCTCTACTAAAAATACAAAAATTAGCTGGGCGTTATGACATGTGCCTGTAGTCGCAGCTACTCGGGAGGCTAAGGCAGGAGAATCACTTGAACCTGGGAGGCAGAGGTTGCACTGAGCCAAGATCACGCCACTGCACTCCAGCCTGGTGACAAAGCAAGACTGTGTCTCAAAAAAAAAAAAAAAAAAAAAAGAATCTGACATTGTATATTTAAGTACATAATTGCATATCAATATTTCAAATGGTAATATATTTGAAACTTCTTTGACAAAATCTACCACTAATTAACAAGAACTTAACAGCAGTACATAATACGTTCCCTTGCTTACTTTGAAGATGGGCATTCTCTAGGAAGTCTTCATGGGTTTCTTTTGTTTCTCCAGGTTTTGTTGATCGATACTCACTCCTTAGAGAGATCGTCCACCATCTAAAGATTACCTATAATTAAATACAAGGTGATATGAATTAAAACTGATTTCAGTACTAACAGTTGCATTAAGTTTGGGGTTTTGAAAATTCACATAAGGCTATGTGTCCAACATTAGCCATAACTTTGCAATCTGGCATCACATCAAATTAGAAGTCAGCTCTGGGCATCAAAGACAGTTTTCCTTAGAGATTAAAGTCATAAAACCATAGTGCTGGAAGGAACCTTTAAAATCGATCAGGTTGGTTGGGTTCAGTGGCTTACACCTGTAATCCCAGCACTTTGGGAAGCCAAGGCATGTGGATTGCTTGAACTACCTGGGGGGACTGAGGCAGGAGAATTGCTTGAACCTGGGAGGCGGAAGTGGCAGTGAGCCAAGATTGCGCCACTGCACTCCAGCCTGGGCAAAAGCAAAACTCCACCCCCAACAATAAATAAATAAATAAGTAAAATGTTCTACTTTGGGTGAAATGGAAAAAAAATCACAAAAGAAAAATAAAATAAAATAAATCCTGTCAAAGACTGGGCACAGTGGCTCACGCCTATAATCCCAACACTTTGGGAGGTTGAGGTGGGAGGATTGCTTGAGCCCAGGAGTTCCAGACCAGCCTGGGCAACATAGTAAAACCCCGTCTCTACAACATGTTTAAAATGAGCTGGGCATTGTGGTGTGCTCTGTAGTCCCCACTACTTGGGAGGCTGAGGTGGAGGACCCCTGAGCCCGGGGGGCTGACACTGCAGTGAGCCAAGATGGCACCACTGTACTCTAGCCTGGGTGACAGAGTGAGACCCTGTCTTGAAAAAAAAAAAAAGAGAAGAAAAAAAAACCCATCAGGTCAACTGATGTTAAAATCACCCAAAGCCAAATGGTTATCTGTTTCTGGAAGATGTCTTAGAATAAACATTCCATAATTTGGGGAGCTAATTGCTCAGCTCTCCTCCCTCCTTCCCCATCTACAGGGCAGACAAGATGAGTGGATAATTTTCCCAGAGAGAGCAAAAGTTACACGGACAGAGCTAGGGAAAGCATCATTATGCTTTGTTGGATGCATGAAAAAGTGTCATTATACAGGACACTTCTTGGTAATGGATCTGCTGATAGCACATTTGTCTTCTCTGAGAATTTTGGTTTATCCGAAGCAAACCTCATTTTCCATGGTTATGAACTGCACTTAAAGGCTGTGTTGATTTCATGGCAATGTCAATTAATGGGCCTGATGAGAAGCCCCTGAAATGTATTGTATGTTTTTAAACCTGTAATGGAGCTGGGTAGGTAATTAAGATGACAAAACTTCCACTGATTTGAGAAACAGACTAAATTATGTCTGCATTGGATCTAAGACTATGAGGAGAACGATGGGAAATACAGTCACATTAGGGGCTACAGCTTCAACATTAGAATTTGGCAGGTACCTAATTCAGAACAGAGGGATATCAAGCATTACAGCAGAAATAGCACGCATTCTACAGCAAGACAGGCCTGAACAATTTCTCTGCACTGCAATTTTCCTTTCCATTAAACATTATTTAATATTAACAGGCAAGGCCCCTATGCTATAGTGACAGTTGGTGATCTTTCCAGCCAGATCAAGCAACAAAATCCTTGGTTGAGTGGGGGATTCCACAACAAATGGAGATTGGACCCAGGGCACCACTCCAGAAATGTTACATTGCTGGGCTTGCTTCTTGCTCATAAAAAGGCAGAAAGATGCCTGTACAATCTGTTGGCCTCACATCTTGCATACCATTCATTTCATCAAGGATAAATTATTTCGACATTCCTTAAACTAACTATTTAACCCTCTGGTATTGATTTAGAAGGCAACATTCGCAGTTTGTCACAATGGCCACTGGAGGGACGCTCCCCAGGGCACATGTTCAAGTTAAGATACACACAGATAAGCTTCCTGAGAATGTAACACTTGCTTATGGAAACGTGGCTAACTAGGACCAGAATCCAAGTCTCCTCACTACTCATTCATAAACACAGAGTTCTGCTGGGCCCAGTGGCTCATGCCTGTAATCCCAGCACTTTAGGAGGCCAAGGCAGGCGGATCACGAGGTCAGGACATAGAGACCTTCCTGGCTAACATGGTGAAACCCCATCTCTACTAAAAAAACATGCAAAGGCTGGGCATGGTGGCTCATGCCTGTAATCCCAGCACTTAGGGAGGCCGAGGTGGGCAGATAACAAGATCAGGAGTTTGAGACCAGCCTGGCCAATAGGTGAAACCATGTCTCTACTAATACCAAAAAAATTAGCTGGGCGTGGTGACACATATAGTCCCAGCTACTCAGGAGGCTGAGGCAGGAGAATCGCTTGAACCCGAGAGTGAGCCGAGATCGTGCCATTGCACTCCAGCCTGGGTGACAGAGTGAGACACTGTCTCAAAAAAAAAAAAAAAAAAAAATTAGCTGGGCGTGGTGGCAGGTGTCTGTAGTCTCAGCTACTTGGGAGACTAAGGAAGGAAAATCGCTTGAACCTGGGAGGCGGAGGTTGCAGTGAGCTGAGATCACGCCACTGCACTGCAGCCTGGGCAACAGAGCGAGACTCCATCTCAAAAAATAAATAAATAAACAAATAAAATAAATAAATACAGAGCTCCTTTGGAGGCCTGACTTTTTTTTTTTTTTTTAGGTACAAACTTCACACCACAACCTATCAGACCATTCTACAAAGCAATACACAGAAAACTAATGTTCACAATCACAACTTAACTGCAAGATTCAATTATGATCCATGTATTGTACTTGTTAAAACAGAGTAATAGGCCAGGTGCAGGGGCTCACACCTGTAATCCCAGCACTTTGGGAGGCTGAGGCGAGTGGATCATGAGGTCAAGAGATTGAGACAATCCTGGCCAACATGGTGAAACCCCGTCTCTATTAAAAATACAAAAATTAACTGGGTGGGGTGGCGTGCGCCTGTAGTCCCAGCTACTTGGGAGGCTGAGGCAGGAGAATTGCTTGAAACTGGGAGGTGGAGGAGGATGCAGTGAGCCAAGATTGTGCCACTGCACTCCAACCTGGCGCCTGGCGACAGAGCGAGACTCTGTCTCAAAAAAATAATAATAATAATAGATACTTTCTTCTTCCTTTTTTTGGAAACAGGGTCTTGTTCTGTCACCCAGGCTGGAGTGCAGTGGTGCGATCCCAGCTCACTGCAGCCTCAACTTCCCAGACTCAAGTGATCTTCTCACCTCAGCCTCCTGAGTAGCTAGGACTACAGGTGCCTGCCACCACACCAGCCTAATTTATGTTTTTTTTTTTTTTTTTTTGGCAGTGATGGGGTTTTGCCATATTGCCCAGGCTGGTCTCAAACTTGAGTAGGGGGTTCCGGAATCCCCCACTCAAGTGATCTGCCCACCTCAGCCTCCCAGTATGCTGGATTACAGCCATGAGCCAGTGCCCAGCCTAATAGATATATTCAAAATTTTAAAGCCTTTTATTTTTGAGATAGAGTCTTGCTCTGTCCCCAGGCTGGAGTTTGGTGGCAAAATCTTGGTTCACTGCACCCTCTGCCTCTCAGGTTCAAGCAATCCTCCTGCCTCAGCCTCCTGACTGGTCTAAAATTTTAAAGATTATTTTTAAAAAATATGGAACACATACTGGGCGCGGTGGCTCAAGCCTGTAATCCCAGCACTTTGGAAGTCCAAGGCGGGTGGATCACGAGGTCAAGAGATCGAAACCATCCTGGTCAACAAGGTGAAACCCCGTCTCTACTAAAAATACAAAAAAAATTAGCTGGGCATGGTGGTGTGTGCCTGTAATCCCAGCTACTCAGGAGGCTGAGGCAGGAAAATTGCCTGAACCCAGGAGGCGGAGGTTGCGGTGAGCCAAGATCGTGCCATTGCACTCCAGTCTGGGTAACAACAGCAAAACTCCATTTCAAAAAAAAAAAGAATTGGATACTTGGGGCCGGGCGCGGTGGCTCATGCCTATGATCCCAGCACTTTGGGAGGCTGATGTGGGCGGATCGCCTGAGGTTGGGAGTTCGAGACCAGCCTGACCAACATGGAGAAACCCCATCTCTAAAAAAAAAAATGAAAGAATTGGAGACTTGGGAGTCTTCATGGCTCAGGTCAGTTGTCCTGGTGTGCGAAGAGGTGAGGCCAGGCATTCAAGGCCAGCCTGGGCAACTTAGCAACCTCTCATCCATGAAAAAAAAAAAAAAAATTGGATACTTGGGCTGGGTGCAGTGGCTCATGTCTGTAATCCCAGCACTTTGCAGGGCCAAGGTGGGAGGATACTTAGGTCCAGGAGTTCAAAACAAGCCTGGTCAACACAGTGAGGCCCTGTCTCAAAAAATTAAAACAAAAAAAAATTAGTTGGGCATGGTGGTGTGCGTCTGTGCTGAGGTGGGAGAATCACTTGAGCCCAGAAGGTCGAGGCTATGGTGAGCCATGACTGTACCACTGCACTCTAGCCTGGGTGACAAAATGATACCTTATCTCAAGAAAAAAAAAAGTCAAATTAATAATCTTCAAACACAATGGATGTGATTGGGAATCTGTGGCAAAGAGATGCTGCTGTTTGCCACACAGCATCCATTTGCCCACCTGCCCTTTCTACAGGAGCCCCTCTTTGTCCAGTATCCTCTTTTTTTTTTTTTTCCCCCAAGATGGAGTTTCGCTCTATTGCCCAGGCTGGAGTGCAATGGCTAGATCTTGGCTCACTGCAACCGCCCCCTCCAAGGTTCAAGCAATTCTCCCGCCTCAGCCTCCCAAGTAGCTGGGATTACAGGCATGTATCACCACGCCCGGCTGATTTTGTATTTTTTTAGTAGAGATGGGGTTTGTCCTTGTTGGTCATGCAGGTCTCGAACTCCCAATCTCAGGTGATCCGCCTGCCTCAGCCTCCCAAAGTGCTGGGATTACAGGCGTGAGCCACTGTGACTGGCCATCCGGTATCCTCTTTCGCACATACCTTGTGCTCAGAGCATAGGCCTCATCCGTATGAGGCAAACCCTGATTGGTCGAAGACATTTTTGGTAGAATTTTTTTTGCCCCTG